TCCCGCCTCCCGCTTCCCGCCTCCCGCCGCTTGCTGGGCTGCTGCGCGCCGCGCCGGAGGGTAAGTGCGGGCCGGGGGCCTCCAGTTCGCCCCTCCGGGAGCGGGGGCACGGGCGGAGCGAGTGCTCCGAATGCATGCTCATGCTGACTATCCCGGTAGATGGCGAAGAACACAGAGCAAGCGCTGTGTCCCCCCCGACCTCCCCCGTGTCCGTCCGAGCGCCGGCTCCGGGGGAGAGTGCCTGCAGGTGCCCTGCCTGCTCGCCAGCGTGTTCGGCTTGCTTGGACAGGGCCTGACCCCGCCGGGAGCCTCTGGAGCTAAGCCTGCGGGCTGGCCTGGTACCAGAAGGGACAAGAGGCTCTCCTGGCTTGAGAGAAAGCCTGAGCTTGTATCTGGTAGCCCAGTGAGAATCCAGGCGTGGGTCTGCACGGGGAGACTTAATTGGCTTTGCTGACTTGTAAGAACTGTCGGGTTAGGGCAGGCTTGGTAAGGACCCTTGGTCTGGAGTAAAAGCGCGCCCAGGGAGTGTTCCTGCTACAGCTCCCAGTCTGTGCTGTGTCATGCTTCACAACCTCTTGGTCGTGTGGCTCCAGCCTGAAACATTGCTGCATGGAAAATACAAATTCAGCCTTGTGCACGGCGCCAGTGCTTGTCCGCAAAGTCCTTGCAGCTGCGGACAAAGGTTGCTGAAACACACAAGGCACCAGGATCCGGAAACAGTCGTGAGGCGTGCAATCAGAGGCTGAAAGTCCTGTCGACTTTGAAGTGCTTTATATGGCTCCAGATTTACTGGAGCACAGGCTCGCAGCAGAGTTTTATACCCATAGGGTAAGAGTAGAAGCTTTATAATACACCTGGCTTAATGCTTTGCTGTGACTAAGTCGTGCTCTTTGTTGCTAAGATAAAACCATGGATTGCAGTTTACCACTGTGAAGATAAAATGCCTGGTCCTTGCTGGCAGGCGGGGTTCTCCACCAACCTTGTAATTTGAAGGGGGAAACGTGACCACCAACCTGCTCTGCTGGGTGGGAATGTGTATTTTCAGCATCTCATCTGTCAGGCGCTAACCTCTACTACGTGTGGGTGCAGCTGACATTTCTTAGCGGTTTTGGATGTTCTTACTGATAATTGTTTACCAAACTTTGTATGGACAAAGCCAGCTGTTGTCTTCACCTTGCTCCCTTAATAACAATCCCTTTGCAAATGAGAAATAGAAGCCTGTGGTCCCTGAAGATCCCTCGTGAGGGGTGCTGGCGCTCTTGCAATAGGAAGGCTCTTTGCACCGGTTCTGTGATGTGGCCCATTTTCCCCCCACACTGGCAGATTGCGTTGGTGGGACAGTGCAGGAGACACCAAAACCTTGCTTACATCATGGAGGTACCAGGTGGGAATAGGCATCAGCTGAGGTTTGGAGGTTTGGTTTGCAGAGGGAGTTGTCTCCATGCTGGAGAGAGGTCTCTGCTGTCTTCTGCTGTGCCGCATCATGCAGCACCGTCTTGGGTCGTGCAGACAGAGAACATCTGAAGTTTGGGATTGCATGAGAGAACCGGTGCCAGATGATTGTGGGGAAGGGCCCTTGTGTTCTCTTGCAGCCGGGGAGGGTGCTGGAGCACTTGGGGTCAAGCACCTCCCAGCAGCGCAGGCTGGCAGCAGCTCTGGCGGACGGGGAGCAGGACAGAGGGAGAAGCATACAGCACGGACTTTGCTGTGGGGCAGCGTGGTGGAGGCTGCTGGATGCGCCTTCTGCTCCGTGCTTCCGTCTCAGGCCTGCGCAAGGAAGCACAGAACTGTTAAATACAAACCACACGGGCCCTGATGTCTCCTGGCCGGCAGAGTTGCTCGTGCAGATGCTGGCAAACGCCAGCAGCTGTGTGTTGCTGGGGGCTGTTTGCTGAGTTGTGACTGAGAGGGTTCCCTGAAGCCGCGGGGGTGAGCGTCGCTCGTCTTCCCAGTGCCTCTTTCCTGAAAAGGTTCGGTTACTATTGCAATTGTTGTTGGTGGCTTTTATTGTTACTTTACGTAAGGGTGGCCTTAGTGATTCAAACTGGCCATTCGTGTAGCCCTGCTCCTTTCAGCTCGGGGGATTTCTGAGCCCGTTCTGGTTTGTCTGTGTTACAATTCCCAGTTCACCTCTTGCGCCCAGAGCTTGCCCAGTTTCCCCTTGGGTTTATGAAAACTGCCTGCAGTCAGAGCATCCCTCAGCAGGGAGCTCCACAGGTCTGCTTCCTCCTGCATGAAAAAACACCTCTTTTAGTTTGTTTTGATCTGTTTCCTGACTTCATTGGTGGCCCCTCGCTCCGGTGTCAGGAGTGGCCATGAACAATCAATCAGTTTCTGTCCCGGTCTCCAGAGCATCCCTGCAGGCAGGGTGCTGGGTCAGCGAGGCCATGGGACTCAGCCAGCTGCAGCCAGAGCTGATGGGACCTGCTGCTGGCTGTAGTCCTGCCCTGAGCCAGAGGCTGGACTAGGGTCCTTCAGATACCGCCTCCCACCAACACTTCAGTCATTTTAAGGTTTGCTTGACAGGAACAGAGCAGAGAGCCCTTGGTTTGTGCTGCTTAATACCCAGCAGGCACCAAGAGGTGAAAATTCCCCAGTTCACCATGCTTGGAGATCTTGGGTCCATGCTCAGCAGCTCTTCCACACACACGTACCTGCGTGTAGTGAGCTGCCACTTCTCCCATCACACCCTGAAATACTAACGGGCTCTTTTTCTGACAGCACCAAGATGGCTGTTCTCTCAAAGGAGTATGGTTACGTCATCCTGACGGGTGCTGCCAGCTTCGTCTTGGTCACGCACCTCGCAGTGAAAGTGGCCAAGGCCCGCAAGAAGTACAACGTGGAGGTGAGTGCTCAGGCTGAGGGAACGGGAAGGTCAGAGCTGGTCTGCAGGGGATGTTGCAGACAAGCTAGGTGACACCTTGATTATTTTGGGGTGACCTGCTGACATTTCCTGCCCCACCACACGGATGCAGAAGGGATGGAGCTGCCATTACGGCTCTCCAGGCTGGAGCAGACGGCACAACAGAGCCTGGGGTTTGGCAGATCAGGCGCTTGGCACTGAGCTGAGATGGCTGAAAGCACAAGGCTTTGAGCTCGGAAACACTGACGAACAAGAAACAGCACAGCCCTTTTCCCTGCAGAGGTGGCCAATGCAGTGTTGGGGGCAAAAGGATTGCAGTGGAGCAGAAGTGACAGGAGGGTTTCTCAAGCTCAGAGGGAGTCCGGGAGCCCTATCACAACAAGTGTCTCGAAGTGGCCATCCCATCGAGGAGCCCACAAGCTGGGCAGGGCTGTGGGCTGGTGGGGGTGGCCGGTCCTGTCTGTGAGTCAGGGCGATGGCATGCGGAGGCTGCTGTGCCACTTGGCTCCGAGTGCAAATGCTCCTTTGCTCTTTCCCCAGGTCACCCTGGGAAGTGGCAAGCAGGGGTGGGTGCAAGGACAGCCCTGGATGTGTGCTGCAGGCCCCAGGGTGCCTACTGGGGTGACCCCGCTCCTCCTGCATGAAGTCAGGATTACAGCAAACTTGCCCAGCGTGTGCGGTGCGCAGAGCACTGGGTTGCGGGCGTGGGGAAGCCTCTGCAGCCGAGTGGCAGCTCTGGCTGGCTGCTCAGCTCCACAGTGGTGAGGAAGGCAGCGTCCTCCCAGCGGATGTGTGCTGCAGGCCCCAGGGTGCCTACTGGGGTGACCCCGCTCCTCCTGCATGAAGTCAGGATTACAGCAAACTTGCCCAGCGTGTGCGGTGCGCAGAGCACTGGGTTGCGGGCGTGGGAAAGCCTCTGCAGCCGAGTGGCAGCTCTGGCTGGCTGCTCAGCTCCACAGTGGTGAGGAAGGCAGCGTCCTCCCAGCCTGTCCCTGGGTGCTGGGCTGCTGCCAGCTCCCCAGAGGAGACATGGGGGCATGTCCTCAGTAACACTGCTTTGCTCTCCTCTCCAGAGGCACGAGATTTAAACAGGGAGGGCACCCAGTACCTGGCTATCTTCTCTTCGCAGCAGGGCTACCTCCATGCTAGTCAGGTTGCTCAAGAAGTTCAGGAAGTGGCCTGAGGCAAGCAGCAAATTTCAAGGGAGCAGCTGTGGGCAGCGGGGCAGGAGACAGGCTCCAAATCGCCCAAGCAAGTCAGTCTTGCAAGCACCTCTGCAGCTCAGGGCTCCCTGGGGAGAGGTGCTGCAGGGCATGCTACTTGCTGCTGGAGAACTCCCAGGCCCAGACCGCGCTTGCTCACGTTTTGCTGCTGGTTTATTTTTTTGGCAGTATCCAACTATGTACAGCACAGACCCTGAACACGGGCGTATATTCAACTGCATCCAGCGTGCGCACCAGAACACGTGAGTACCGCATAGGAATGCAGACCTTGACGATGCACAGGGCTGTGGAGCAGGGCCTACAGCTAGAGACTCGCGGCTGCCAAGTGTTGGGGTGCAGGCTCAGCGCCTGGGGAAAGCACACAGCCAGGTAATGCGTGCTTAACGAGGCTGTGCTGCCTCCTTACTGTGCCTTAAACCATGGGACAGGGCTGTGAAGCAGCCTCCCCATAGCCAGTGCCCTGCTCTTTGCCTTCACCGGTGGGTCTTAAGACACTGGAAGTCTTGTTTCCAGAAAAGCCTGTCTCAGGGCCCCAGATCTCCCTGGGGAAGAGGCTAATGCGGACCAGGCTGCAACAGCACATCAGAGTGGTGCTGGAGGAACAATTCCTCCTGGATTAGGTGGTGGCAAGTAGTATTTAGCAGTGGCTTAGGGCACAAAACAGAAAAAGTGGGTGGGTGGCCTTGGAGAGAGGCACGGACCTGGGTGGGGGGGGTGGGGAAGTCCCTGAAAGCCTGTATTCCCTCAGATTCCCTCTTTATCTGTGGCCTCAGGATCGAGCACAGCTCTCCTGGGCACGGAGACCCATAACAGTCAGGCCCAGCAGAGACCTTGGCAGGGGATGCTCACAGCTTCTGCGTTTCTGGAGTTTCCTCTTTGTTAGCAACTTGAGCACAAACACAACCTCCTCGCTTTTATTTTCAGATTGGAAGTTTACCCTGCCTTCCTGTTCTTCTTGGCCACTGGTGGAGTCTACCACCCGGTAAGTGACACTACGGTGCAGGTCTGCGTGACTGAACTCTGCTCTTGCTCCCCGACTTGGGGACAGTAGACCAAACTAGCCCCCCTGGAGACAGCAGGCTGCTTCACTAGCCACATCATGCTTCACAGCTGTGCCCCTTCTGAAAATGTAGTGGTAGAAGGTCTTGTGCAGGGGAGTCACAAGCATTTAATAAACTCATTACTGCTGCTTCAGACCCATTTCCTTCCCCTAAGGGTGCCTTGTCGGACAAACAGAAGCATTCACAGCCTCCAGTCCATGAGGGGGAAGTGTCCCTCCAACCCTGCCTGGTTCTTCCAAGCCCTGCAGTGCTACTCAGCAGCTTGTTGGGTGGAGGACAGGAACCCTTTCTCCCCCTTCTAAGCACACTTTCACAAAGAGTTTATCTGATAAGAATAGATGGGGAACATGGTGATCTTCCCACTCACTTCCACCACCAAAGGAGGTGCGCAAAGGATCAAAAGCAGCCTGGGTTATTTTTAACTGAAAGATGCAGACAACTCATGAGGAGGCAGGCATGTGGGAGAGGCTAAATCCAGTAGCTCCTTCTTTGCCACCAATAGACACATCAGGCCATTCTTGAATATTCCTTTCCAGAGGGGGAAGGAAGCTGCATAGGCAAATCTGCCAAACTGGAGCCACGTTGCAGCAAGCTGTAAATTAAGAGGCAAGGTAGAAGTCCGTCACACCTGCAAGAGGAAACCCTGTACACCTGCTGGAGGCAGTGGAGTGGGGCTCGGGGCAACAGCTGCCTCCACCATCCTGGCACGGGGTCTAGCCCACTAATTGGACAGTGGTGAAATGAGATTCAGCACCTGCTGCCCATATGACTTAACCATTTCTTGCTTGGGAAAGAGAAGGCTCTGCAGCACATCACACACTACCTCCCCCTAGGCATCATAAAAGCGACCCCTCCTATACAAAACTCACCCTAGCATGCGGCACAGTCACCCGCCTCACACGGGCTGACTCCCACTTGTCCTAGCAAGGTCAGGACCCATGCTGTAGTTGATGGTTGCTTCTTTGAAGCAGGGCTGCTGTAACAGTTAAGCATGTGCGAGCAGCAAGTCTCTAAAACCTTTAATGCTTCTGCTTTCTCTCTAGCGGATTACCACAGGACTCGGCCTCACCTGGATCCTTGGGAGAATCCTTTATGCCTATGGCTACTACACAGGAGGTAAGTCTTTATCCTGCAGCACACAGCAGGGTGCTTGGAAACTTAATTCTCCTACAACGGCCTCAGGGCTCTTCCCTCCAGCTCAAATTGAAGAGGCAGCATAAAGCTTCCTGTCAGGGCATAGAGAAAAGGGTGCGGGTCCACAGGCTGCTAACTGCAGCGCCCTT